GTAAAGTTTGCTGCTCTTCCTTTGCTATCCATTTGTTTTTGTAGCTAGTTTCAACTATATTCCATAGTTTCAACTTTTTGGACAAACAATTGGACAATGATTTTCCAAAATATTTTTAAACTACGCCAACCTTCATTTTTTATATGGTTTAAATAAGTAAGTATACATCTACGGTTGAAATTAAATGGGTTCTTTCCAAAACTTTCCAACTGCAACAACTTAATTAGAAAGTTAATACTAAACATATTCAATCATCAACAAACACATAATACTTTTCTCTTTTTTAAAGTCCTGAGGCTAACTTTTACCAAAATACTCTAGCAAGAACGATACAATCATTCAACCTCTTTGAGGTATACTTATTAACTGCTTCTAGATTTTTTTTTAACTAGCTATTCACTGCATTTCAGAGTAAAGCAGAAAATTTCAAAATTTGATCACCCAGTTTGTTTTTTATAAAGCCTTTTAGGTAGCGGTATTCCTTTAGTTTGTTTATCTTTAGAATTGTTAAAAGTTTAGAATTTAACTGAACTTTTATTGACTGTAACTTTAAAAGAAGATTTATTCTTGACTTCATTAAAAAAAAGTGAAAAAAAAAAATGAAATCTTAAATAGTCTTCTTGATAGCTTGAATAACGATTTAAAAAAAAAAAAAGGAAATTAAGATATTTTGAAGCAATCTGTCTTTTTGATTACTTAAAACGTTTTGTTTAGAAAGAGACTTCAGATAAGAAAAAATTCTTATTAATGCTTAATAAGGCTTATTAAGCCTTAATAAGGATTATTTCTTATTCACATAAGAAATAATTTAAGGGAGTGAATAAGAAATAATCCTAAATAAGGATTATTAAACGGTATAAAAATCTTGTTCTTTCATCAATAATGGAAAAAACAAAGATTTTTATACTATTTCAAGCAGTTATATATTATTTTCATAAAACAAACCGTCCTATTTAGCTACTATTTGAGTTTCTAATTAAGTGGAAAAAAAAACACCAAAAAAAAAACATTAAATTTCATAAAACTTACGCAAAAATTTATTTATAAATTAGTAAACAAACGCAAAAGCCAAAACAAAAAACGTCATAAAATACGCGGAAAAAAAATGTATATAATCCATACATAATTTTAAAACAAAATTCCTAAGCATCAAATCTTCAAGAAAACATAAATAAATACTTGATTTAGAGAGAGGAAAGGCTATACTTGTCTTTTGGACAGGAAGTCTTTTTTAAAAAAAGTTTTTTTTTTCCAACTAAATCGACGTTAAAGTTTATAAACGTTGAGGACTAAAAATTTTTGTATAAACTTGAAAAAGGTTATTCTTTCCATTCGATTCCTCATTCTTCTTTTAATCTATATGGAAACTTTCATGCATTTTAGATGTGTTTTACAAGGGTTGAATTAACGCATCGCGATTTGCGATATCTGTTAAATTATCTGGTCTTCAAAGTTTCAGTTTATGAAAAACCACGAAGTTTACGGAATAGGCAAATAAACTTTAATTTGTTAGTGAAAATGTTATGGAAAACAAAACAATAAATTTGTGACTACAAAAGTAATAATACTACAGTGTTGTTACTTTTATAACACTCTTTTATGTTACATTTATAGTTTATTGTTTGATCAAACAACACATAATCAAGATATTATAAATAAAAATGATTTAGTTAAGTAATTCCAAACTTTAATTAAAGTAATAATGCATCTAGAAAAAATATAATGGATATTTAAACAATGTTAAAAACCTCAGCAACTTTTACGAATTCATATTTTTATAAACAGTTTAGCATTTCTAAACATCTTTCAAACGGTCCGGAAAAACGCGCGTTCACTTTAAAATCAACCAGAGAAAACACTGGTAATTTACTTCTTAGGAGAAATCTATATTAAAAGGGGAGGGGGGGGAGGCTAAAAACTTAAATTTTGTTTTATTATTTAATCAACTAAATCATAATAAAAGTAAAGACAAAAAAATATATTTCTAAGTATACTTCTTTATAACTAAAATTTATTAAATTGAACACCTCTGTTTTTAGTTTTAAGTAAATGCCAGTACTGCTCTCAGTGGCGAAACTGCGGGGGGTGGGGGTGGGGGTGAGGGGGGGGGGTTAGCAGACAAAAAGTATCTTATTTTTAAACTAATTTTAGGTTGCATGGGCGATATGGGGCTCATTTTGAAAATCGTGCGGGGGGGGGGGGGATTTTGCTACTAACTACTCTAATGTGCTTAATACAAAGGTAGGTGGGGGTGGGAATTTTAGTCAGGATGTATAAAATGGGAGGAGGAAATAATAAAAAAAAGCGGGAAAATTTACAATGAAAGTTTTATTATTTATCGGTTACCAATATATATTTTTTTTAATTTTAAGGCCAATTTTCACTGAATTTTTGTTTTGAGATATAGTTTTTTGTTTATAACAAGTGACTTGCTATAAACAAATAACACCATTTTCAAAATGAGCCCCATATCGCCCATGCAACCTAAAATTAGTTTAAAATCAGGACACTTTTTGTCTGTTAACCCCCCCCCCCCTTCCCCGCAGTTTCGCCACTGAGAGTAGTACTGGCATTTACTTAAAACTAAAAACAGAGGTGTTCAATTTAATAAATTTTAGTTATAAAGAAGTATACTTAGAAATATATTTTTTTGTCTTTACTTTTATTATGATTTAGTTGATTAAATAATAAAACAAAATTTAAGTTTTTAGCCTCCCCCCCTCCCCTTTTAATATAGATTTCTCCTAAGAAGTAAATTACCAGTGTTTTCTCTGGTTGATTTTAAAGTGAACGCGCGTTTTTCCGGACCGTTTGAAAGATGTTTAGAAATGCTAAACTGTTTATAAAAATATGTATTTGTAAAAGTTGTTGAGGTTTTTAACATTGTTTAAATATCCATTGTATTTTTTTTAGATGCATTACTACTTTAATTAAAGTTTGGAATTACTTAACTAAATCATTTTTATTTATAATATCTTGATTATGTGTTGTTTGATCAAACAATAAACTATAAATGTAACTTAAAAGAGTGTTATAAAAGTAACAACACTGTAGTGTTATTACTTTTGTAGTCATAAATTTATTGTTTTGTTTTTCATAACATTTTCACTAACAAATTAAAGTTTATTCGCCTATTCCGTAAACTTCGTGGTTTTTCATAAACTGAAACTTTGAAGACCAGGTAATTTAACAGATATCGCAAATCGCGATGCGTTAATTCAACCCTTGTTTTAGTACTTAGGAAATCTTACCTTCAAAAACTACTTTTGAAAAAACGTGCCCGCGGCAACTTTTTTTAACAAAAGTGGTCTTAAAATATTGATAATATTTAAACGAAGCCATATGAAAAATAGTACTTTCTATATATGGCTAGAAAGAGGTTGAGTAACACTAACTGATACAAAAAACTTAAAGGTGCTTGCTTAAGCCTACAAAAAGATATAAGAGAGTAAAGTTTATGAAACTTCGGGTGTTTTTTGGCCAAACGTCAAATGTTTTTCGTAGCGCCGTGGAATCGTTAATGTTGGCATATCAATATTAGTAAAACAATAATCGGATAATATTGGCGCAAAACTGTTTGCCAATATTGGTAAGGCAATATTGGCGTAATATTGCTTGACAATATTGGCGCAATATTGGATATCTTGGCCAAGATTCACCAAGATACCCAATATCGCGCCAAAATTGCGCTATTATTGTTTGCTACTTGGGCATTTGCAAAATGCATCACATAAGTAAAAATTTTGAGTTAGTTTCATTTCCACATTGTAAATACTGAAATCTATCATCTTTTATTTTATTTTTTTAATTTTTTTTCAGGTACCCCAAGAGGTCTATACGGTCTTATCACAGAGCACCATGGATGAGCATTTAATAGGAAGTTCACGCCTCCTTCCTAACCGATGTCGCAAACATTTCCCATAGTTGGGGTTTGAACCACCGATCCTTTGTTTCTGAGGCAAATGCGTCACGGCTGCCACTACGACAATAAAGAGTTTCAAATGAGGTACTGCGCCATGGCTGCTCGTCTATATAAATATTTGACCAATTGAAATTTTTTTGCCCTAAAAATAGACGGAAAAAAAAAATCTGTTTTTTTATTTTTCTCCGCAAAATTGAGCAGTTCATTTTTCGCCGTTTTCTCAAAATCGATTTACTCGGACTTGGCATGTTTTGCAAAAGAACTCCTCAAATATTATAATGCTTATCACTAAGGTATCCAGTTACAAAAAAAAAAAAAAAAAAAAAAAAAAAAAAAAAAAAAATCTAAATCTTATTTAATTTCTTTTTTATTAAGAGCTTTAACTTGTATAGTTTGAAATGTGTAACACGCTTACTTATACGATACGTTTGGTCATGGAAGTATAAAACAGATAGAAGTTTATCGAGTCGCAAACATCTAAGTAATTTCAAGTCGTGTCGGGAGTATGCTTGTAACCGACAATAAAGTGTTTCACTGGACAAAAAACAACAAAGTTCACTGAAATGATTTTTATTAAAACATTAAAAAAAGAATTATTCTAGGGATATGCTGCAATTATTCTAGGGATATGCTGCAATTATTCTAGGGATATGCTGCAAAAAAAAGAATTATTCTAGGGATATGCTGCAAAGTTTTTACCATTAGTAATTACAATTATTCAGAAAAAGGTTTATTAAAACTCGGTAATTAAATAGAACCATTTTATTTTAAAAGCATATGTTAGTTTAAGCATCTTTTCTTGCTTTAAGTCATTACACGACATTTGATTAAAAAGACAACTAAAACTATTTTTAAAAACTCAAAAAAATTGTTTTCTAAATTACTAAAGTTTAAAGTTTGATTAGTTGTATATCATAATTCCATTCATTCTTGTAGTACTCCATTCATTTAATATGAAGTTTATAAAAAGGTTGTTGCTTGCCGTTTTCGTTGCGCCATTTTTAATGTTTATACTTGAATATTATTGGCGAACCTTCAAAATACTATATTTTTAAACGTACCTATTTGCGTCAACGTA